TTCTACTATGTGTTGCTTACCTCGGTCTTTTAACAACTTAAAGGGTTTATCAAGAGCCTTACCTTGTAAAAAGGAGCAAAAGTAGGTTAGAATGTCATTAAAATAAGTAATAACATGCTTACCTTTGGACTTTTATAACTCATGATTCACCACTTATGTGGCACTGTGATTAAGGTTTTTCGGTGGCAACCCATCTTGAGGGTCATCTAAAACAATTCAACAACTCTGTAAAGGAAGAACAAACATACCAAGCAAACTAGTGTTATTGTTAGAAATCGAAATCAGTAGTTGTCTAAAGAGCGCAATAATGCAAGGCTCTTTATGAAGAATGTTCTCTATCAATTCTTTTGTGCTCACATATGTATTTCTAATCACTATTTTCTTCTCACAATTAGGTTTACACACCTCCCTTAGGTCATGTTCTTTGCTTTTATGGGTTGTGACATCTTTTGCTTTTGCCTCTTTTTCATTGTCTTTTTTTCCAGCCTCCTCACAAATTATTCTTTTATCTTTGAAGATTTTTTTTTTGCCGAAGACTGTAAGGCTTACCGTCTAAATTCAAAGTGTATTTTTTTGATTTGCCATAATTGGTAGCATTATTGTCGTAAATCCATGGTCTTCCCAGAATGATGTGAGAAGCTTCCAGTCTAAACACATCACACCAAATTTTGCCAAAATACTTTCCCGTATGTAGGTTGACTAAGCATTTGGTGACTTTCATCTCGAAACCTTCATTAACCCATTGTGGACAATATGGTTTTGGATGATGTTGACAAGGTAGGTTGAGTGCCTATACCAAGTAGCTACTCACCATGTTTATATAACTTCCATTATCAATGATTATGGAGTAAGTTTTACCTTGTATCAAACACCGAGAATGGAATAAGTTTATTCTTTGAATATCAGCATCTTTCGTATCTTCAGTGTTTAAAGGCCAAAGTATAACCATACAACTAGGTCTAAAAAATTGCAATGGTTCAAACATCCTGAAAATTCACAACACTCAAGAAACATGTAATGTTAAAAAATAAAAATCAAAGAAGACAAGAAACCTCACAAGTCACTCCAAGGAAGTAATACTCTGAGAGGCAAGGAAGTCGATCTTGTACTCTTTAAAACTCTCTTATCAAAAAGCTTTTCAATGTTCGTGTCAGAGTTTGATCGTTAAGAAAGAGAAAAGAGATACTTAAAAGCTTTAAGAGGTCAAACAAAGGTATGACTTCAAGTGAACGAGAATGCAAGAAAGAAGAAGTATGCAAACTCTTTTAGTCCTACTAACACAAGGAAGACAATGTGTTAGATAATGTATAGGAACAATAAAAGGTAAAACAAAGGAACCTAAAGCAATAAGAATCAAGAAAAGATTGGAAAAAACACTATATGATGTATTTGAAGGGTCAGATAGAGTCCGATTGGGGCTAAATTTTTGGACTTTACAATCCTCTTATGATTGAGTATGTACCTATAAAAAAATCTGATCCAAATTCATTCGTTTGTAATTTCTAGTTTTTTTGGATTTTTTTCTCATTTTTTCCTTTTTTTCTTTTATTTTCAATGAAAAACAACAAACTAACGAGAAAGAATTAAAACTAAATAAAAAAATTGAAAAAGAACCTACAAACGATGAACTTGTGTGAACAAGCTCTGTTGGTTACTTCAGCGAGTAATGCTTCAAGAACAAGTCAAATTACTTTGATTATTTCCAAGAATTGTCCTAAATCTGATACCAATTGATAGAAATGTAGCATCGGATAGATGGATGTTGCTCTCATTAAGGAATCAAACTTAGAAAGCTCTAGACTCGATGAAGAAAGTGGAAGGATTTGAATGGAAGAAGAATATGATGGAGTTATGGAAGATGGATAATGTAGGGATTACAGTTACTGGAAAATCAAGAATAAATATTAAGATAATAAGACTAAAATAATAAAGATAAATAAAAACAAGGAAGATGAACATAAAATAAAGAATTGATAAAGATAGAATGACTTAGCCAAATTAGGGTTTATGGCCAAATTGTTAAGATGGTGGCGTGGATGATATTGATAATGAAGATGGATATGATAGAAATAGATGGATAATTATCCTATCAAACCCTCCTACTCGTAATGAAAAGGCAAACTAGACAAATAGCTCTAACCAGCCCTCCTAATCGTAATGAAGAGGCAAACCAGAGTCTGAAGATCTCTCTCCAAAGAACTTGAAAAAAACTAAATTAAAAAAGCTCCGAAGGCACAAGTAATCAACACTTGCAAAGATAAACTCTCAATGTATTGTATTCAAGAAAAGATGTCTTTACAAAGTCGAATGAAGTCTCCTTTATATATGGGAGGAGTTCTAAATTCCTAAATAGCTAATGAATAAAAATAATAATAAACTACAAATAATTTTTTACTCGATCTTAATTCCTAATAAAATAATAAATATAATCCTAAAAGATAATGCATCATCCTAAATTAAATTATATTACAAATAATCGATAAAAATATTGAAAATTCGTAATATTTACAAAATCCCATATTGATGCGATGCAAGAATCGTTGGAAAGATAAGAGACAGCCGATAGTAACTTCAGAAGATATGTCAACCAAATAACATCAGGATGCTATTTATAAAGCATTCGTAAGTCTGCTGGTCTTTTTTTCCAAGGCTTGGTCATGTGGGTCAATTTGAAGCGTTGATCTATCTTCCTTTGATGTGAGCCTTGTGATGCATGTATCATCCTCCCTCTCTTCAAAAGATTTGACCTCAAATCAAATAGATAGGCTTTGAATCTTCGAGACTTCGTTCTTCTAATAGATTCAAGTAGAAACATTAGTCCAAAGAAGCAAGCGTTGTCATCATTATGGCCTCTGATGCATGTATCAATCGTATGTTGGAAGTTTTGTATATTTATGTTAGTGAGGGGGAGAAAACATTGATACTAGTACTAGAGATGTATGTTGAATGTTCTTATTTAACCTTCTATATTACGTTTGTGGTAGTTTAAAGCTTTCGTTGTGTTTTATTAAGTTTACAAAACCTAGAAACCTCACATGAGCAAGTTTGTAGCAAAACAATATTCTTGTGGCATCAGATTCTCGAAAATACAAGTTCTTAATTATAAATTAATTATAAATTACTTTATTATTTTAGATTCTCAGATAGCAAAAACATCTTTCATTCAATAAAATATTTTATTTTTATATATTTCCGTAATGCCTTTTTTTCCCTTTTGAAACTTGCAAGCTTTTATTTCAAATTCTAGAATTTGGGTTTTTGGTTTGACCTTCATGTGGAACCCAAGATTTAATGACATTTTAAATAGACAAGAAAACGTATTTTTTGATGAAGAAAATAATTTTACTACGTCATCTTTACTCAATTTGTGATTAGCAAGAACTATAATTGGACTGCCACGTCTCTAGATAATGTGATTAGCATACTTTTTTAAAAATGCTTTAAGAAATTTGATGCGGCAAGAAAACTATGTAAGGCATCGCTTCTCTTGAAGCGTGTATTCTCACGTGGTGTCATGTCAATATTTTTTTTAGAATGTGCGTTTCAGGGAATACACTTTCGGTCCACCTAAGTAAAGACGTGTTTCACATAATACACCTTATTATAAAGGGTGTTAAATCGATAAAATTTGAAAAAACGATACTTAATATATAACTTTATAATATTTGAGTGGTTTTTAGATAAAAACGCCATTAGTGGAACGTATCACTCCTAAACACGCATCAGATGGTATTTGCCTTACATATTAATTTATAATTAAATATATATTTGCTAATTTTTTTAGCGGTGTGATTAAAGAAACATGAAAGAGAAAATATACTCGGACCATAATTTAAAGATCGGCAAAAAAAATGGAATAAAATACAATAATTTGTATTTTTATCTGTGTATGGAGGAACGTGGAGATTTTAAAGTCTTTTAGCTCACCTAGTTTTGCAAAATCCAGTGGGTTTACATACTATTTTTTTAGTATTGGTTTAAATCTACATTTGGTACATAAATTATATATTTCTTTTAAATTAACACTTACAGAATTTGTGCTCTCAGATTTGTACAGAAAATATAATTAATATAGAAACTTTAATTTTATATATTATTTTAATATTTTATTAACAATGATAACTTTTAATGATATGATAATATAAATCTTTATCCCGTGTTAATGAGAATATTATCACATATGTTTTTATATAAAAATCTTTTAAAGTTTTAAAAAATATATTAAAAATTAAAAAATTTTGTATAAAAAATTATAAAAATTAGTTAAAAATCCCAAATATCATAAATTAATGTCTAAAACACTTAGAATTTTATTCTTTGTATAAATATTAAAAATATAAAATATGAATCTAAGTTTTAAAGTTGAAATTTCATAATAGAATATTATTGTAAGAAAGTAAAGTCATCAATTGGAAATTAAAAAAAAAATACACACAGCTATTTTAGCTTTTTTTAAAAAAATCTAGTCAAATTAGATAAAAATATGAAAATAAATAAAAATATGAAAGGATAATAAAATACTTTGATTTTTTATTAAGAAAAATTAATAAAAGTTTACCCCATTCTAAAATAAGAACACACTGAATATTCGATTAAAATAAATAAATAAAGTTATAATGATTAATTAAAGATAAATTATTAAAATGGTGGATTAATTTTAAATAAATCGTTGTTTTCATTTTAAATATTTTGTTATTCTTAAACTTTTTCAAAACTAAAAATATAAATGAAAATGTCATTATTAATATATCATATAATATAATATAATCATATTAGTAAAAATTAATAAAAGTAATAAATAAAATTAAAGTTAAGATAAATATTGTAAGATAAATTTTATAAGTATCAAGTTGAAATAAAGTATCAAATAGAAATAGTAAATGAGTATTTAAATATTTTCAAAAGCGGTCGTAGGCTAAACCAAGAACAAAAACCATGGGCAAATTTCAGCCTCAGCACAAAGAAAGCACAAGCCTTTTTGCCTAACGAAAAACCGGCTGCTCCGCTCTCTGTATCTGTCTTTCCATCTTTGTCTCTTTATCTGCTATATATCACTGATCTCTTCATATTGGTATTTCCTCTGTTACATCCTTAAAATTCTCAAACACTACACTGCCTTTTGTTTCTGCTTGAAGAAGAAGAGGTTTCGCAGATTCCTGGTTACGTCTCCATGACACTCACTTCTTTAATGGGTATTTCCTTCTTTTTGGTCTAACAGTTCTGAGAAAGTTGTAGCCAATGGGTGTTTGAAGAAGAAGAAGAAGAAGAGCTGTTTTCCTTTCTTTCTTTCTTTTTTATTGTTTATGAATGGAAACTTCTGGTTTACCTGGTGGGGTGTTTTCCGGGATTGGTTCGGGAATTTTAGGCCTTGAAATGCCTTTACCCCCTCCTCGACAACAACCTCAAAATCCCCAAACTGTTCAACACCCGCATGGTTTTCTTCAACACCCACAAATGGTTGCTTATTCCTCCAACCATGAAAACGAAAAACAGCTTAAACCAGGTTACACTTTTGGTTCCAAAACCGGACAGACATCTGCTGTTAGCGATGATGATGAGCCTGCAGGTTTCACTCTCGATGACGGTGGTGGTAAGAGAAAAGATTCGCCATGGCAAAGAATGAAATGGACCGATGGCATGGTGAGGCTATTGATAATGGCGGTTCACTACATCGGCGATGAAGCTGGACCGGAGGGTGGCGCCACCGATCCTAGTGGAAAGAAAAAGGGTGTCGGTGGTGGATTGTTGCAGAAGAAAGGGAAATGGAAATCGGTTTCGAGGGCGATGATGGAGAAAGGCTTTTATGTTTCGCCTCAACAATGTGAAGACAAGTTCAATGATTTGAACAAGAGGTACAAGAGGGTTAATGATATACTTGGTAGAGGGACCGCTTGTAAGGTTGTAGAGAATCAAACCTTGCTTGATTCCATGGATTTGTCCCCCAAAATGAAGGAACAAGTTCGGAAATTGTTGAACTCCAAGCACTTGTTCTTCAGAGAAATGTGTGCTTACCATCATAGCTGTGGCCATGCTTCGAGTGCTAATCATTCACCGGATGAGACATCCCAAATCCAGCACCAACAAGCTAAAAATGCTCGAATTTGCGGCGATTCGGAGTCGAAGTCGGCTAAAGTGGTAGGCAGTGAAGAGGATGACGATGACGATGAAGACGAAGAGGACGATGTTGATGAGGATGATGACGATGAAGAAGCAATGGATGAAGAAAACGATGAAGAGTCATTGTCGCCATCGATGCAACAACTGAGCAGTGAAGTGGTGAAGGTGATAGAAGATGGATCGAAGAGCGGTTGGGAGAAGAAACAATGGATGAAGAAGAGGGCGATGCAATTGGAAGAGCGGCGAGTGAGGTACCAAAACCGGGCATTGAAGCTGGAGAGTCAGAGGCTCAAGTGGGTGAGATTCAGTGGGAAGAAAGGAAGGGAAATGGAGAAAGCGAAGCTCGATAACCAACGAAGGCTGATCGAAAACGAGAGGTTGGCCCTGATTTTAAGACACAAGGAGATGGAGCTGTCGGAGATGGTGGATATTCAACCCTATCACCACCATTCTCCTAACAAAAGGGGAGACCCATCAAGCATCACTGGTTGAAAATGTAACATATTATTACGGATTTTATGTCAGCTTTTTGTATGAACAAAGAAAGAAAAAAAGATAGCTTGTTATGCTCTTGTGTTTATGAAATTTAGTTATCCCTACATGTGAATTCTGGTTTTCATTTTCCTTTATTTGTGTATCCATTTTCAATAGATAAGTAATACTCTAGACTTATTTTTTTAAATAAATATTTGAGTTTGATTTGATATTAAAATGTTATTCGATTTTACTCAATTCCTCATTTTATAAATTTAACTTAAATCTTTTTAAATAAAATTTAATTTATAAAATAGGATTTGGATAACTATTTTTTATAAATTTATAATTAGTGATTTGATTTGATCTTTAACTTATGGATGTTATATTTTTGTGATTTCGGTAATTAATTTTAAAAAAAACTGCTATCATGTATGTATTGCTAGAGACATGTATCATGACATATGTCACTACATGATTGAAGGGTTAATTTTTTAATTAATTAAAATTAAATTCAAATTAATAGAATATAGGAGTATTAAAGATTAAATGTATAATTATATTAATAATTTTAACAGCTACATCATCTCTTCTATTAAATATTAACAAAAAAATTATCTGATTGAAACAATTAAATAATTAGATAATCTAATTAAAAAAATCAAAATAATAACAGTCAAAAATGATAAATAGTTATGACCGGTCATACTAGTAGTTCACGCTTTTATTAACGTTTGATCTGCCACCACTAAATTGAGTGATAGAAACAGGAAACTAAGCTAGAGATAAATGTATAATTATAAATTATAAATTTGTAACTTTTTTTAAAAAAATTATATTTTCTGTACAAATAAATAACTTTCATTGAAAATAATTAACTGTATAGGAAAATATGTTTTAATTTGATTACCTTCAAAAATATTTTAAAATATAAATTAAAAGGTATAGATTTATAATATTAGAAAAGTAATTTTATATATTATATGTACACTTAATTATTTATTTTCATTATAATCATATGTGCTATATACACATATGTGTCTCAATGACTATGGTTTATAGTAAACTGTAACAATAATTCTTGATAAAAAATAAAATTTTCGAACTCTTGTATGAGCAAATCTTTTTTCATTGCCCATGCTAGTTAACTGACTAAGATTTAGTAGAAGGAATATATTTACAAATACTAAAGTATAGGTGTTACACTTATCTTAGAAAACTACATATCTAATGACACTCGAACCCTCAATCGACTGATTAGAAGTCAGACACCTTGACAATAAGGTATATGTACATATATATATATATATATATATATATAACCCAGATGTTATTAGGAAAATATTATATCTCACTAAATTAGTTAGGGGGGGAAAAAACACACCTGGTGGGACTCGAACCCACAATCGTCTGATTAGAAGTCAGACGCCTTATCCATTAGGCAACAGGTACTAGGTGCTTGATTTAATCAGATTTTAACTTTTTTACTAAAGTTATTATATTTACCAAAATTAAAGTATATGAAATTTGTCGGGGAAGAACACATCTAGTGAGACAGGTTCTTGAGAGTATGTATTTCAAATGCTATGTATTTTTCTTTTTTATGGTTCAGAAGTAACTGTTTATTGATTTCGACCACCAAGCTAAATTTAGTACCCTTGTAATTTATAAGCAATTTAAGGCTGATTCTAAAAAATTGTTGTTTACAAAAACGAACAATGACCCAGCCAATGCTGCAGAGTTATTTATTACACAAACCACATCACTTCCTTTAACCTCACTAACCTGCACAATTTCAGTCACAAATTTTAGGCAATGATACATGCATAAGAGTTCTCATTGTAAAGTTCAAATCCCTAATTAATCAGCCAACAGATAGGAAGTAAACTAACAGCAAAATATCTTTAAAAAAAACACAAAAAGATAGAAGCACTCGTAGCTGGTTCCACTTTACTCACCTCCAGCCAAACAGATGTAGTTTCACTCCCAGTAAACAGGTACTGACCAATAAAAATAGTGTCTCCCTTCTTCACTGCCTGCAAAAATCAGATTGGATGACTGTATCATAAAAGTTGCACAAAGAAACAGGACAACCACCAGCAAGTATGAATTACTGTTAGCCAAATGGAAAAAAATTGGCAAGCGAAGATTCCTGTATAAATAACCCATAATCATTTTGCACCAGCCAATGCATGTCTCACAACCCCAAATTGAGGAAAACCAGTTTATAAAGGCTGTGAAAAAACAAAAGAATCAGACATCCAAGGCAAATAATGCTTTAAACCTCAGATCCAAAATGCAAGAAAACAAGGCTCATGCAGATAAATCTGCAGAGCGAATAACATGGGATATACAAAATGCAATGGGACGTAGTGGACTAGCTCTGTACCTTTGACAATACATCAAAATTGATAGGCAATAATTCTGAAGAGGCCTTTTGCCCTGCATCCGGTGTCAAAATAACCATAGCATCTGCCTGAAGTGAGATGGCTTTCTCGCTTTTATTAACAACCTGCATCTCAGCACCTACGGTATCCAACATAACCTGGAAAAAGTCACTTTATTTCTTAAATTACATGATCCACAGTAAAGCAGTCAAAGAACACAATCTGCACCACAGTAACAAACAAAAAAACACACTGTTTGCCTCACTCGAGATTCTGTAACAGCCAACTCCCTTTATCTGGAGTAAGGCACAATATTACTGGCAATTCACATTAAAAAATGTCCGAAAAAAAGTAATACTAAAAAAATCATTTAAAAAAATGAGAAAGCATTTTCCTTTTCCTGCTGAGCACAAAGTTAACATTTTACATTAAGGCAGACATTTATCCAAGGAAGCAAACAAAAGCTATATAACTAACAAAAATAGACCAAAAAACAAAGAATATACCGCACAAAACTTCTAAGTGAGCTTAACAGCTGCCTTCAGATTTTCTAAAGTTTCCTGATGATACTCTAGGCCATGCCACGAGAAATCAAACCTAGCCACTGCCCAGAAGAAAAAAAACCTTAAAATCTCAAAATCCATGTTATTGACCACCACCACTCATGTCTTCCATAGCCAAAACTCTATCTGTCGATCACCCCCTTTTATCACCACATGAAATCTTTAAATCTTTAAATTATTCAATTTCTTAAAAAAAACTTTAAAATCCTTAAATATATTCCCTTATCATTTTCAAATCAATCATCGTTGTCCATCCTTCATTCGTCAAATCCCATTATTGATAATCTTATTCTTTCATCGTTGCAAATCGAATAACAAGACACTAAAATCAATGACGAACGACATTCGTCAGCATAAATCGACGATTGATGCACCACTCTTCTTTTGACGAATGATTTATGATTAAACGAGAGGAGAAGAGTTGTAGGTTGTTCAGGTTGGGATATAAACCAAGTACGAGTAATTTCCCTATAACCGGATTAGTAAGAATGCGAAATAAAAACGGAAAAATAATACCCGAAAATTGATAACGGAGTTCAGCCAATTGTGCTTACGTCTCCGGACTGCTGCAGATCTTTTACTAAGAGAGAAAATTTACAGGTGTTTACAAAACAATCATTACTCACAAGAAACTCCCTAGTATTGGGAGAAAGAAATGATTTGGGATTTTGGGATGATTTTGAAGCTAAATGAGCTAGGGTATTTATAGTTGAAACTTAGGGACCAATCTTTGTAAATACCCTAAAGTCAAATGACTAAAAAATGATTTTCCCATTGCTTAAATTCAAAAATAATGGGCTGCCTAACTTTGAAAAATTAGCAGCCCCCATTTAGCCACCTTTGAAATCATATAGCCACGGAAAGCCATCTAAAAGCCATGCATTTTTCAACAATCTCCCACTTGAAGACTAATTTTAATATGTCTTCACACCTCGATCAATGTAGCAGCTTTCTGGTCTTGATTACTCTAGCATGCCAACTGAAGCTGAACACAACTTCAGTTTACCCGTAGTCACCGTCTTTGTTAACATGTCTGCTGGATTTTGAGCTCCACTGATCTTTTCAAGTTTCAAAATCCCATCTTCCAGAAGAGACGGATAAAATGATATCGTAATTGTATGTGCTTCGTCCTGGAATGAAAAGACGGATTCTTCGCTAGATGGATAGCACTTTGACTATCATAATACAAGACATTGTTTTCTTGTTTCTTGCCTAACTCTTCCAAGAAACTTTGGAGCCAACCCATCTCCTTGCTGGCTTCTGTAACAGCGACATATTCTGCTTCAGTTGTGGAGAGAGCAACTATCTTCTGTAGTTGAGAAACCCAACTCACTGCAGTACCTCCTATAGTATAGACATACCCTGTAGTGCTCCTTCTGATGTCGACATTTCTGGCTAAGTCAGCATCTACATAGCCAGTCAATATTATATCTCCACCTTTGAAACAAAGTGCTTTGTTTGTGGTACCCCGCAGATATCTGAGGATCCATTTGACTGCTTCCCAGTGTACCTTTCCCGGATTATTCATGTACCTGCTAACAGCTCCCACTGGTTGAGCAATATCTGGTCTGGTACAAACCATGGCATACATCAGACTTCCAATTGCTGAGGCATACGGCACCTTCACCATGTGTGCACGTTCTTCCTCTGTCTTTGGTGACTATTCTTTGGAGAGTCTGAAATGAAAACCTAAAGGTGTACTTACTGGTTTAGCATCTTGCATGTTGAACCTGGAGAGTACTTTGTTGATGTACTCAACCCGTGATAACATCAAAGTCCCCGACTTTGTGTCTCTCTTGATCCTCATCCCATGAATCTGCTTTGCAGCGCCCAGATCCTTCATAGCAAACTGCTTCGATAATTCTTGCTTCAAGTGTATAATCTCTTCCATGTCTGAGCCTGCAACGAGCATGTCATCAACGTACAATAATAAAATAATGAAGCTGTTGTCGAACCTCTTAATGTAGCAACAATGGTCTGCTTGGAATCTGGTAAACCCACTGCTACTCATGAAGCTATCGAACTTCTTGTACCACTATCTAGGAGCTTGTTTTAAACCATACAAGCTCTTCTTCAACCTGCATATCAGGTTTTCTTGTCTGCTTCTATGAAGCCTTCTGGTTGCCTCATATAGATTTCTTCCTCCAAATCACCATGAAGGAAAGTTGTCTTTACATCTAACTGCTCAAGATGTAAATTCTCTGCAGCTACAATTTTTAACACCAGTCTGATTGTAGACAGTTTTACGATTGGAGAGAAAATTTCATTGTAGTCAATACCTTCTTTTTGCTGAAAGCCTTTTACAACCAATCTTGTTTTGTAGTGTTTGCTCCCATCGTGCTCTTCTTTGATCCTGTAAATCTACTTGTTGTGGAGCGCTTTCTTGCCTGGTGGTAATTCAGCTAATTCCCATGTTTGATTTGACATAAGCGAGTCAATCTCATCTTTCATGGAAGACTCCCACTTGACTGAATCCTTCACTTGCATTGCTTCATTATAGCACTCTGGTTTAGGAATTTGGGAGGAGCGTCTCAGTTCTGGTGTGCCTGGTTCTTCTTGAACTGCTTCAGGATTGATCTGAACATCATTTCTAGAAATCTCCTCGAACTCAACAAATTCCTTTGTTTCAGCTTTGGTATTGGAGATGCTTGATTATAAAGTTGACCTATCTTTGTACATCACATTCTCATTGAAAATGACATCTCTGCTTCTGATGATCTTTCGATTTTCATAGTCCCAAAATCGGTAACCGAACTCATCACCGCCATAACCAACAAAGGCACATTTGTTGGACTTAGCATCAAGTTTACTTCTTTCAGCAGAGTCTATGTGTACATAAGAAATACAACCAAACACTCTTAAGTGTGAAAGGTTTATTTATTTCTTGCTCCAAACTTCCTCTGGTATTCTGCCATCCAAAGGAACTGAGGGCCCACGATTGATCAGGTAAGCTGCAGTGTTGATAGCTTCAGCCCATAGAAATTTGGGTAATCCGGCATGTATCCTCATGCTTCTGGCACGTTCATTCAGAGTTATGTTCATGCGCTCTGCTACGTCATTCTGCTGCGGTGTCATGGGAACTGTTGCCTCCATCTTGATCCTATTGTTTGTGTAGAAATCTCTGAATCTCCTATTTTTGTACTCTCCTCCATTGTCAGACCTCAACCGCTTGACTTTCAAACCAGTCTCATTTTCCACCATGGTCTTCCATTTTCTGAAGGTATCAAAGACTTTTGATTTCTTCTTCAGAAAATAAACCCACACCTTCCTTGTAGAATCATCGATGAAGGTGACATAATAAATGAGCCTGCAAGAGATGGAACTGGAGATGGTCCCCATACATCAGTATGAACCAACTCTAACTTTTCTGCCTTGGGTGTCTTACCAATCTTTGCAAAGCTGACTTTCTTTTGTTTGCCAAAGATGTAATCCTCGCATAGTCCGACATCTACATTCTTTAGATCCGGCAACTTCCCCTTTGAAAAAAGTGTCTTCATCCCTTTCTCGCTCATATGGCCAAGCCTTTGGTACCATAGGTTTGATTTTCCATCAGCATCTGCTACTGTAATGATATTCTCTAAATTTGAGGTTATATAGAGAGTACCAGTTTTCTTACCACGAGCAATGACGAGTGCTCCTTTAGTAATCTTCCATTCACAGCCTGAAAAGGTTGTGCTAAATCCTTCACCATCAAGTTTTCCTACAGAAATCAAATTTCGTTTGAGGTCAAGAATATGTCTCACTCCTTTCAGTGTCCAGGTGGTCTGGTTTGGCAACTTTAATCGGATGTCTCCTTTTCCGACGATCTTCAAGGTTTCATCATCGGCTAAATGAACCTTCCCAAAATCACCACTGACATAGTTCTCCATGATTTCTTGGCATGGGGTGGAGTGGAAAGATGCCCCTGAATCCAAGATCCATGATTCAATCGGACTGTTGACGCTTAGAATCATGGCATCACCTGTCTCCTCCGTCACGTTGGCAGAATCCTGTGCGCCGGTATTTTTCTTCGGTGCTCGGCAATCTCTTTTAAAGTGACCCTTCTTGCCACAATTATAACAGGTAAAATCTTTCTTTCCCGTTCTGGATTTTCCCCGTGTGGATTTCAATCTGTCATGATTTGAATTTCTTTCTGAAGTTCTCCCTTTGGACTCCGTGTGCAAGGTTGAGGAGGCTGATGCTTCATCCGATTCTCTCCGTCGAATTTCTTCGCTCAGTACCAGATCCCGAACATCGTCGAATTTTAATTTTTTATTTCCCGACGAGCTGCTGACTACTGTAACAGTAGCATTCCAACTGTCTGGTCGAGATTATAAGAGAATTAAAGCTCGAACTTCATCATCGAATTCAATTTCCATGAAACTCAACTGGGTTGTGGTTGTGTTGAGTTTATTTAGGTGTTAAGCCACTGATGCCCCTTCCGCCATCCACAAATTGAATAATCGCCTCATCAAATGAACTTTGTTTGAGGCCGATGGCTTCTCATACATACTGGAGAGAGTCGCCATAAGACCCGTCGTGATCTTTTCCTTTGCTATGTTGAAAGCAACATTGAGGGATAACGTCAGTCAGATAACTCCGAGGGCTTGTCTGTCGAGAAGAGCCCAGTCTTCATTTTCCATGTCCTCTGGTTGTTTTCCTGAGAGAGGTTGCTATAGATTTTTCTGGTACAGAAAATCTTTAATCTGCATCTTCCAAAAGCCAAAGTCCGCACCATCGAACTTTTCAATTTTCACCTTCCCTTCGTCTGTAGCCATCGCTCCCACTCGAATCTAGCTTTGTTTGGATCGTTTCCGACAATTCTTGCGAACCACCGTGTATTAGAACACCTCCGCCGAAAAATTCGTATCGTCGATAAAATTTTTACTATTCACGAAATTTACTATTCACATGAATAGTAACCTCGCAAAAAATTGACAAAATTCACCACCAAAAGCTCTGATACCAGTTGTTGGGAAATAAACCAAGTACGAGTAATTTCCCTATAACCAGATTAGTAAGAATGCGAA